GATGGCAGGAAATAGATTTTGCATCATCACGTCCGTCAACTTCACGTGCCTCTCATCCGACTGACAGACATGTCAGCAACCATCCAATCCAGCTTCTCCCCAGCTCTCCTCCTCCTCCTCCCCCTCCCCTTCCCCAGCTCATCCCCAGCTACCTGCATGTTGTTGAGGACGATGAGCGGGGAGACAAGGTACTCAGTCCCCGGTGAGTGCGGCCGACGCTGAGACGCTGCGATGTCCTTGGACAGCGAGTACTCCTCCACCTTCTCACTCCCTCAGCACGGCCCCAGCACACACCCCAGCTGATCCTACCTTGAAGTAGAGGGTAGGACCCCTAGGCATCTTGGCGAGCCGGAGGTAAGTCCCCTGCTCCAGGTTCATGCTGCGTTTCCTCCTCCTCCTCCTTCTCCTCCTCCTCCTCCTCCTCCTGCTTCCCCCCTCCTCCTTCTCCTCACCAGCTCTGTGGTGGAGAAGCAGAGCATGTGCGAGACCCCAAGGGTGCCGGAAAGAGCGACGTAGTCCTGGCCCCATCCCCATCAGCCTCCGTCACTACAAAATTTTCCTACTGCATTCCCCCCCGCCCCCCCCCTCCTTCCCCCTCCTCTTCCTCCTCCTCCTCCTTCCCTGACCCTCACCTTGAGATTGTTCGACTTGCGCTCCTTCAACTTCAACGCGCAGTACGGCGACATCATCCTGGCACTTGTCATCGGCCCCAGCGGCTCTCGAATGACCAGCCTACCTCCTCGTGTCTTTGATCAGCTCCCGGACAAGGGCAGGGACCTTTCCCCTGCCGTGATAGGATCAGCATGCGAGGAAATGTCATGTACCCTCCCTCCGAAACGACGTCGCAGCAAGGGGCAGCGACGTCAGAAAGGTAGAAGGAGGACACTGGGGTATCCATGTTGCATGTGTCGTAACAAGGTATCGCAAAGAGTACGAGACCTCGGTAATTTCATGCGTTGCGGGAGGGAAAAGAGAATTTCTCAAAGAGAATTTCTCAAAGAGAATTTCTCAAAGAGAATTTCTCAGTCTACACACCTCCTGATCACAAACGACTTTGGGACTTTTTCTCCTCCAGTCTTCTCCTGCAGCAGCCGTCAGATGCCATACAGTCAAGTAGCCAGAGAGCAGTGAGCATGGGAAAGAATAAACAAGGACGATGTGATGACGGCATGAAATTACGTGCTGCATTGAGTGACAGTGGCAGAGGTGCAGATGCCAGAGAAAAGAAAAAACCAGTCGAGGAGAGGAAAGATGGGGAAAGGGACCGAAGCAACAACAACTTCTCTCTCATCGCAACAAAGCTCCTCATCTCCTCCTCCCTGTCCTCTTCTCCTCCTCTTCACCTGCGTGTCCTCCTCCACGTGCGTCCTCCTCTTTTTGTGCTTGCGCGCCATTGCCGTCTCCCGCACGTGCCAAATTTGATTCTAATCGATTCAAGTCTCCCTGGATCCCCGTCGCCCGGCCCGGCGGCCGGCCCGGGAACTTTCGAACTGCCGATGGCACTGGCACTGACTACCGTAGGCTAGGCGCGGCAGTTCCGGGACCGGCCGGGCGCCGGGCCGACCTCAGCTGAGCGGCCTCCGGGCGAGTCAGCGGCAGGCTGAGGGCCGGGCCGCCCGGCTTCCGAAGTTCCAGACCGTCATTGCGTTTTGGGAACTTCTCGGAAGTTCGGACCGGTGGTGCCTCCGCCCCGGCCCGGCGCCGTGACTGCGGCGGCACTGGCAAGTGTACGGTAGTACGGGTGACGCGGGTGCCCGTTAACTTAGTAAGCAGCGGCAGTCCGCCGCGCCGCCAGTCCGGGCTGAGTCCCGGAGTCCGGCGGGCCGTGATGGGGCCGTGCCCCGGCAGCGCCCGGCGGCTTGTAAACGGTCCGAGCTCGCAGCCTGATCCTTGTTGGCCGTACGGTACTAATGGCATGCCTTGATGATGATCAGTCCTTCAATGAGTCAGATTGAAGGACTAGCATTGAACAGTGCGGTTAAGTTCAAGGTTTCATCAAGACTGTCAGGAGCACTATAGCATAAGTTTACTCGTCATACACTCGAACCACCTCAAGGTATCAACGTTAACGTCAATCATTCCAGTAGGATCTCGCTACTCCCGAACTTCATCCTCCTCCCCCTCACCTACCGTACCATTCGCACCACCCCCTCTACCCCCCTCTCCTACGCACAGCTGTTCTCCCCTCTACATGCTCGAGCGCCTCCTCAAAAAGCCCCCTCGCCATGTACATCTGACCCTCCCTCCTGTCCTCCCCGCCCTCCTCGTCCTCCTCGCTCGGCTGCTCGCTTGACGGCTGGTTGGCGCTGCTGCGGCCCTGGTGCTGCCTCGAGTAGGGCCAGCCCGCGATCCCGACCTGCTTACAGGCCTTCTTGAGCGCCGTGAGCGAGACCCCCTGCAGCACGTCCCCGTCAGCCTTGTCCTCATCTTCGCAGAGGGTCGCGCATGGGACTCACCAGGGTCTTGGCGGCGTCGACCTGACGGAGGGGGAAGAGCGCGGCGATGCTGTCGTAGGAGAGTGCGATGGAGGCTTTCTTGGAGTGGGAGGAGGTCATCTGGAGGCGGTTACGGCGGGGAGTGATGCGAGCGACAGGACGGGGGTCGGACATGGAGGAAGGAGGAGGAGGTATAGGAGGAAGGCACAGAGGAGGAGGGAAGGAGGCTGTGTCCGAAGAGGAGCACCGAAGAAGGCTGAGGGCAGTAGGGCAGTAGACGGTGTGGCAGGAGATGGATGCAACAGGGAGCGGAAGATCGAGATGGATTGAGAGGGTATCTTCAGCAAGGAGCAGCAAGGTATAGCGTGTGTTGGGGGGGGAGGCGTAAAAGTCGGGTAGAAATGCCGTGGGGGATGAAATTTACCACAAGGAGGTGTTAACCCTAGTCACGGTACCCCCGCCCTTTTTAAATGACAGGCAGACAACTTTTACTCAATAAAAGTGACTCCGAGCCGGGACTGAGGGAGGCTCGGACTGGACTAGTGACGCACTGCGGGCCCCGGCCGGGCGAGTGCCTGAGCGGCCCGGGCGTCACTGATCCGGCGTACCGAAGCCTGAAGACCGAACAGTTAGTGCGAACCCGCCGCGGCCGCGGCGTTGCACTTCGGGACTCGCCGGAACTGTCAGTCGTGGCCCGGTTAGCACTGCCCGTCGCCGCACAGCGGCACTGCAGGCCAAGTCACAAGTTCCGGAACGGAGTCCGCAGATCGGATGGCACGGTGGCAGGCCCGGGCCGCCGCCGGGGCCCGACCGGGGCCGGCAGCACCGATCGGACGGTCACCGGGTGATACCGCGGCCTGGGCTTGACTATGACATGCTGACAATCATCGCGGCGCGGCGACGGTCTGACGGGAAGGCCGTGACGGTGTCGCACTGAGTTGAACTTCCATTCAGTTGGCAGCCGCACCGTGTGTCACTGGCAAGCCTGTGGTTCCGTGCGGACGGTGGCAAGCCTGTGACGGTCTTTCAAGTTTAGCCGCGGGACCAAAGTTTGACGGTATTGAAGCCATGACTCGGATACCCGGTCAGTAGTGTAGCCTTACGTGTCCGACGGTGTGCAGCACCCGGTACATGACTGTAACATATTGAACATCCCATACCATTTTGATATGCGGCGTCATATGACACGGTGCGTCAGCACGGTATAAAAAACCGTTTCAAGTTTTAGGGCGGTTCCATTACTAAAAGACCGTCGACCCACTCCAGTCCTCAGTCACAGTGGTACAGTCAGTGATTGCTGATGTATTCGCTGTAGCATTAGAACTCCCATACCGCACTCAGTTACAGCATAACCTCCTGGATCCGACAATAACAGTGGGCTGATTCCGAAGTTCAAACACATGCGCTATGGTCACCGTCACTGTGACAAGTTCGGCAGGAGCCGCCCTCTGTCTCCACTGCCGGCCACTGCACTGAGCTTGAACCGTTGATTTGGTCTCCGCTGACCCAAGTCCGGGCAAGCCCGACCGTAACCCGGTTTCATTGTTTTTGGCTCAAGAAGAGCTTATTTGCAGCAAGGAACTTCGGAGCGACGTTCAGCGCAGATGATTGTCGACTAATCGGATAATTGATGCCCCAAAACTTACCGGTGAATGACTCGAGTGCATGTAGACAACCATTTTTAGTCATATAATTCATTCATTTCATTTTCAATCAGTTACATGACACATCAACGAGCGACGATCTAGTTGCAGAATTTCATCCATTCTGCCTCTGCTTCTGTTCCTTCTTCTTTCTCAGTCCATTTGTCTTGGGCCTCACACGCCATGACGACCCCCTCTACCCCCCTCTCCTACGCACAGCTGTTCTCCCCTCTACATGCTCGAGCGCCTCCTCAAAAAGCCCCCTCGCCATGTACATCTGACCCTCCCTCCTGTCCTCCCCGCCCTCCCCGCCCTCCCCGCCCTCCCCGTCCTCCTCGCTCGGCTGCTCGCTTGACGGCTGGTTGGCGCTGCTGCGGCCCTGGTGCTGCCTCGAGTAGGGCCAGCCCGCGATCCCGACCTGCTTACAGGCCTTCTTGAGTGCCGTGAGCGAGACCCCCTGCAGCACGTCCAGTCAGCCTTGTCCTCATCCTCGCGGAGGGTCGCGCATGGGACTCACCAGGGTCTTGGCGGCGTCGACCTGACGGAGGGGGAAGAGCGCGGCGATGCTGTCGTAGGAGAGTGCGATGGAGGCTTTCTTGGAGTGGGAGGAGGTCATCTGGAGGCGGTTACGGCGGGGAGTGATGCGAGCGACAGGACGGGGGTCGGACATGGAGGAAGGAGGAGGAGGTATAGGAGGAAGGCAACGAGGAGGAGGGAGGGAGGAGTAGAAGGACGGGGGATGAGTGGTAAGCGTGTGCGGCGGGAGCGAGGTTGTGCGCTCGAGCCTAGTCAGGAAGTTTAAAGAGGGATGGGGAGAGCAATTCAAGTTGGTCCGTGAGGTCGGGGGCTGTGGGGAGGCGGCAAAATCTCAACGTTTCGCAGGGAAAATCGGCCAACAGCCATATGAAAGTACAGCATTTCGCAAAATTTCTACCGCCTGTGTGGTAAAGAGTCAAGGAGTAAAACCTCGGATGCCAGTCAGAGTAACGTGACCTCCCCATGTGCATGCCAGGAGCACGGACCTGCCCAAAAGGTGACCCCTCATCCCCGCACTTCTTACCCCCTTCGTTTACATCGGGAGTCCAGCCACCCAGCTAGAAAATTCAGCGGTCCCGGAAATCGGCAAAGTAAAAACTCTAGTACAGGCATGGCTGGAGTTGAGCGAGGAGACGAGCAGGGCAAGGGAGGGAGGGAGGGAGGGAGGGAGGGAGTGAAAGAGTATAGGAGAAGAGATGTAGGTCAGGAGAAAGATTGATGTGATTGTAATAGGATCGGGGTAGGAAGATATGATGAAAGACAGGTTGACACAGGAGAATTTCAGGGAGGAGGAGAGAGGAGGTATTACGTAATAGCTGAGAGACTGCTCTGCGACTCTCCGATTAGGCAGCAAGGCGCTTTGATGCCCAACGCGTGCACCCACCATGCCTTGCTGGGTGTGAAGGGATGCTATGTAAACGTCGAGGGACGGGCGAGCTTGTGACCTTTCACAACAGATGGTTGTCGACGAGGAGGAGCTGACGTATAGGTGGGGAGAAGTCATTGATTACGTTCCTCCACATGATTATTTAAGTCTTGCATGCAGCCTGTATGAAGCTGGAAAAGTCCTCGGAGCCACCTTCACCCCCACCACCGTACGCCCCATCTCTCCTTCCTCTCTTCCCTCCTCTTCCTCTTCCTCGTCCTCTGCCTTACCCACGTCTACCGGTCTGTGACTAGTGCTTGCAGATGGGGATGCGGATCGAGGGCCTACACCCGTAAGCGTTGCATGCTTGGTTGTGATCTATGTTGATGGAGGACGAAGACGAGGCCCGCTGAGCCGGGCAAGAGGAGCGGACCGCGGAGATTATCTGCTGATGATCAACAACACGCCCATGGAGCGCATGGTGTGGGAGGACGGAGGTTGCGGCTGAAACTGAGCATGTCACAGCTGTCTTCGAGCATCTGGAACTTTGTTGCTGAGAAGCAGAGCTGCACCGTGTTGGTAAGAGATCCCTCCTCCTCCTCCTCCTCCTGCTGGTGCTGCTGGTGGTGGTGGTGGTGGTGGTGGTGGTGGTGGTGGTACTGCTGCTGCTCCCTCTCCTCGTCCTCGTCCTTGTCCTCCTCTCTTTGCTGCTCTTGTTCTCTCGACCTCATTTCCTCTTTCCCTTCTCCTTCACTTGCCTGACGTTTTCAAAGATTCAAAAGCGATCATCGGGGGCAGTAGACAAGCTCGTCGTGCAGATAGGAACATATCAGGTGCAGGAGGAACAGAAGGAGATCAGGGAAGGGGCGAGGAAGGAAGGAAGGGTAGGAAGCGGAGGGGGAGAAGGGGAAGGAGGGAGAGGAGGGTTGGAAGAGGAGTGAGGAGAGGGCGGGGGGACCAGAGAGGAGGAAGGGGAGGGGAGAAATGTATGGGGAGAAGAGGGAGAGGAGGGGAGAAACGAGGAGGGGAGATGAGCTTGGCGCAGGACGCTTACGGAGCTGATGAGAATGAGGATGTGAATCCTGAAGATCCAATCACTTCCATCGAGCAAGGTCCGAGTGCTCGTTGCTGATCCTGCTGCTGATCCTACTTTTGTTTCTATTTCTGTTTCTGTTCCTGTACATGTTCAATCCACTCATGCTTGTAACTGTCGTCGTCATCATTATCATGATAATCGTGATCGTCATCGTCATCGTCATCATCATCGTCATCGTCATCGTCATCGTCATCGTCATCGTCATCGTCATCGTCATTTCATTTCATTTCATTTCATTTCATTTCATTTCATTTTCCTGTTCCAGATGTTGTTCCCATTGTATTCGCTTGTATCAATTCACATGTTGTTGCGCAGAGCGAGATATGATGATAGAGGACAGTGTTGGCCTCGGGCTGAAAATAACAAGAGACGCAAGAGGAAGGTGAATAACGTTCATCTCATCCAGCTCCCTTCCTCTCTCTGTCTCACGCTTCCTTCTCCTGCTTCCGATACTCGTCCGCTGTTCTCCTTCCGTCTCTCTTCTGCTGTACTTGTGAGTAGTGAGCTTTCCACTGATCTCTGTTGTGATCCTTGAACTTGCTGGTTCATCTGTTCTCCTGCTGATGTTATTCGCTATGTTTCGTTCCATTGTATCAACCGCTTCCTCAGGTTTGTAGTTCATGACATGTCGCCGTTTGGAAGTGCAAGATGGAGCGGTAAGATGTGTCTATGGACAATCCTTGACAAGTTGATGTAGGAGGAGGGAGGAGGGGAGGGAGGGGGAGGGAGGGAGGGAGGAGGAGGTGGTGGAGGAGGAGGAGGAGGAGGCAAAAGAGGAGGATCACAGATGTAGCATACGTGTGCAGACTCAACAGGGTGAAGAGGAAAGGAAAGAGGAGAGCAGGATATGGAAAGACAGTAGCTGGGAGCGAGGGAAGTGAATAGTGACGAGATGAATCATAGAAATGATGAATGATACACGAGATGAATGATTTGATTAGTTGCGATGATGGTGATGATGAAAATTCGCAGGGAAGGTGAACAAAGGAGACGTCCTTACCCATGTGAATGGAGAAGACGTGCGCTCGCTGTCTTTACAGAAAGTGAGTTTCTTTGTCACAGACGTTCTCATGGTTGACATCATTTTTGATGAATTTTATGGATTCTAAGTGATCTTGTTTCTCTTCTGCTCTGCTCTGCTCTGCTCTGCTCTGCTCTGCTCTGCTCTGCTCTGCTCTGCTCTGCTCTGCTCTGCTCTGCTCTGCTCTGCTCTGCTCTGCTCTGCTCTGCTCCCCTCTGCTCCCCCCCCCCCCCCCCAACCGCTGTCTCCCCTCTCCCCCCTCTCTCCTCCCCTCTCTTCTCCTTGATTGACTTATTCTTGTCGCGTGTTTTTCAGGTTTTGGGCAGGATAGACGGAACAAATGAGAGCAGC